GATAAGGGAGTGACATCCAAATTACATAAAGAGCTCACGCACCTCAACAAACAAAAAGCAAATAATCCAATTAAAAAATGGGCAGAGGAGCTGAACAGACAGTTCTCCAAAGAAGAAATTCAAATGGCCAACAGACACATGAAAAGATGCTCCACATCGCTAATCGTCAGAGAAATGCAAATTAAAAACACAATGAGATATTACCTCACACCAGTAAGGATGGCCACCATCCAAAAGACAAATGACAACAAATATTCGCGAGGGTATTATGCTCAGTGAAATAAGCCTGGCAGAGAAAGACAAGTACCAAATGATTTCACTCATATGTGGAGTATAAGAACAAAGAAAAAAACTGAAGGAACAAAACAGCAGCAGACTCACAGAACCGAAGAATGGACTGACAGTTACCAAAGGGAAAGGCACTGGGAAGTATGGGTGGAAAGGGAGGCATAAGGTGGAAAAAGGTTCATTACAATTCGCACATGTAATGTAAGGGTTGGGGGGACATGGGGAAGGCTGTACTACATGGAGAAGACAAGTAGTGACTCTGTGGCATCTTACCATGCTGATGGACAGTGACTGTAATGGGGTATGTGGTGGGGACTTGATAAATCGATGGAGTCTAGTAACCATAATGTTGTTCAAGTAATTGTACATTAATGATACCAAAATTTAAAAAAATAAATGAATAAATAATAAAAAATAATACAGTAATTTGAAAATTAAAAAAAGGAAGAACAGGAAAAAAAAATCAATGAAACCAGGAGCTGGTTCTTTGAGAATAAAAACAAAATGGATAAACCCAGAGTCAAGTTTATCAAGAAAAAAAAGAGAAACATAAACAGAAACGAAGAAATAGGCATAATCGATACCACAGAAATACAAGTATTATCAACAAATGCTATGAGAAATTATATGCTAATAAACTGGAAAACCTAGAAGAAATGGATGACTTCCTAGAAAAATACAACCTTCCAAGATTGACCCAGGAAGAAAAAGAAAATCTAAACACACCAATTACCAGCAATGAAATTGAATTGGTAATCAAAAAACTCACCAAAATTAAAACTTCAGGTCCATACTCCTTCACAGCCAAATTTTACCAAACATTTAAAGAGCTAATTATCATTTTCCTTAAAATATTCCAAAAAGCAGAAGAGGGAATACCTCCAAAGTCATTCTATAAGGCTAGCATCACTCCAATACCAGACCAATATCCCTGATGAATATAGATGCAAAAATACTCAACAAAATATTATAAACTGAATCCAAAAATACATCAAAAGTACATCCAACATGACTAAGTGGGGTTTATTCCAGGGATGCAAGGATGTTACTATATTCATAAATCAATCAATATCATACAGCACATCAACAAAAAAGATAAAAATCACATGATCATCTCCATAAATGATGAAAAAGCATGAGAAAAAATTCAAGATGCATTCATGTTAAAAACTCTCACAAAATGGGTATAGAGGACCAGAACCTCAACATAATAAAGGCCATATACAAAAAACCTCCAACCAACATCTTAATAGCAAAAAGCTATGAGCTTTTCCTCTAAGATTAGGAACGAAACAAGGATGCCCACTCATACAACTTTTACTCAATATAGTACTGGAGGTCCTAGCCATGGCAATCAGACAACACAAAGAGGTAAAAGGCATTCAAATTGGTAAAGAAGAAGTTAAACTGTCACTATTTGCAGATGACATGATTAATACATAGACAACCCTCAAGAATCCACCAAAAAACTACTGAAGTAACTGAATTCAGCAACATGCAGGACACAAAATACACAGAAAATATGCTAGCAACAAACTAGTAGAAAGACAAACCAGGAAAACAATGCTATTAACAACTGCATCAAAAAGAATAACATACCTAGGAATAAACCTAACCAAGGACATGAAAGACCTATATTCTAAAAACTATAAGACACTCATGAGAGAAATTAAAGAAAACACAAATAAGTGGAGATCTATCCCATGGTCATGGATAGAAAGAATTAAAATTGTCAAAATGGCCATCCTGCTCAACTCAATTTACAGATTCAAATCAATCCCTATCAAAATACCAACAGCATTCTTCAATGACCTAGAGCAAATAGTTCTAAAATTCATATGGAACCATAGAAGACTCCAAATAGCAAAGACATCCTGAGAAAGAAGAATAAAGCTGGGATGATTACACTCCGTAACTTCAAACTCGACTACAAAGCTTTAGTAATCAGAACAAGAATACTGTACTAGCGCAAGAACAGACCCATAGATCAATGGAACAGACTAGAGAGCCCGGATATAAACCCACACATACATGGTCAATTAATATACGATAAAGAGCCATGATTGTACAATGGGGAATGGAAATCCTCTTCAATAACTGGTATTGCAAAAACTGGACAGCTCCATGCAAGAGGATGAAACAGGATTACTGCCTAACCCCATACACAAAAGTAAACTCAAAATGGATCAAAGACCTGAATGTAAGATAGGAAACCATAAAACTCTTAGGAGAAAACATAGGCAATAATCTTTTGAACATTAATATGAGCAATATTTTCCTGGACAGGGAAAACAAAATAAAAAATGAGTAAGTGGAACTACATCAAACTAAAAAGCTTATGTACAGCAAAGGACACCATCAGCACAACAAAAAAGGCAAACTACAGTATGGGAGAATATATTCATGAATGACTCATCTGATAAGGGGTTAACATCTAAAATATATAAAGAACTCATACCCCTCAACACCCAAAGAACAACCTGATTAAAAAAATGGGCAGAGGACCTGAATGGACATTTCTCCAAAGAAGAAATACAGATGGCCAACAGGCACATAAAAAGATGCTCCACATTGCTTATCATCAGGGAAATGCAAATTAAAACCACAGTGAGATATCACCTCACACCAATAGAATGGCCACTATTCAAAAGAGAAGAAATAACAAATGTTGGTGAGGATTTGTAAAAAAGGAAACCCTCCTACACTATTGGTGGGAATGTCAACTGGTACAACCATTGTGGAAAGAAGTATGGAGGTTCCTCAAAAAACTAAATGTAGAAATATCATTCCATCCAGTAATTCCACTTCTAGGAATTTACCCAAAGACAACAAATCCCTGATTCAAAAACATATACACACCCCTATGTTTATCTCCTCCCTATTTGCAATAGCCAAGATATGGAAGCAACCTAAGTGTCCATCAATAATTTAATGGAAGGAAGAGGTGGTACATATACACAATGAAATATTATTCAGCCATAAAAAGAAAAGAAATCCTGTTCTGTAATGACATGGATGGATCAAGAGAGATTACACTAAGTGAAGTAAGTCAGGTGGAAAAAGACAGACCATATGGAACCCTCCTGCACTGCTGGTGGGAATGTAAATTAGTTCAGCCATTGTGGAAAGCAATATGGAGGTTCCTCAAAAAGCTCAAAATAGAAATACCATTTGACCCAGGAATTCCACTTCTAGGAATTTACCCTAAGAATACAGCAGCCTAGTTTGAAAAAGACATATGCACCCCTATGTTTATTGCAGCACTATTTACAATAGCCAAGAAATGAAAACAACCTAAGTGTCCATCAGTGGATGAATGGATAAAGAAGATGTGGTACATATACACAATGGAATATTATTCAGCCGTAAGAAGAAAACAAATCCTACCATTTACAACAGCATGGATGGAGCTAGAGGGTATTATGCTCAGTGAAATAAGCCAGACGGAGAAAGACAAGTACCAAATGATTTCATTCATCTGTGGAATGTAAGAACAAAGAAAAAACTGAAGAAACAAAACAGCAGCAGAATCACAGAACCCAAGAATGGACTAACAGTTACCAAAGGAAAAGGGACTGGGGAGGATGGGTGGGAAGGGAGGGATAAGGGTGGTGAAAGAAAGGGGGTATTACGATTAGCATGTATAATGTCAGGGGAGGCACGGAGAGGGCTGTGCAACACAGAGAAGACAAATAGTGATTCTACAGCATCTTACTATGCTGATGGACAGTGACTGTAATGGGTATGTGGGGGGAGGGGGGGCTTGGTGAAGGGGAAAGCCTAGTAAACATCATGTTCCTCATGTAATTATAGATTAATGATACCAAAAGAAAAGACATACCATACGATTTCAGTTATTTATGGAGTATAAAAACAAAGAAAAACAGAAGGAACAATACAGCATTAGACTCATAAACACTGAGAAGTGACTGGTGGTTACTAAGGGGAGGGATTAGAGTAGGGGGAGGGGATTAAGGGTCACAATAATTCGCAATCACAATGTAAGTTAGACATGGGACAGTAATACAACATGGAGAATACAGTCAATGATTCTGTAACATGTGTTTACATTGATAGATAGTAACCACACTAGAGGGGGTGAGGATTCAATAATATGGGTAACTATCAAACCACTGTGTTGTACATGTGAAACCAATATAAGATTGTATATCAAAAAAATGGGGAGAGACATGAGAGAACCTGCTTTCTCTCTCTCCACCATGTGAAGACCCAGTGAAAAGGCAGCTGTAGTCAAGACAGGAAGTGGATACCCAACAGATACTGGATTCCCTGGCCTTGATACTGGATTTCCCAACCTCCAAAACTGTAAGAAATAAATGTTTGTTATTTAAGCCACACAGTCTATATTTTTGTTATAGTAGCCAGAACTAAGACAGTCTTTAAACTAAACAGTTCAATTGTACTCATCAATCACCCAAGTGACTCTGAATAATATACCTTCATTAACTGCCATCACTAGATGGAGAAAGCAAGCAAAGCAGGCACTCTGGCATGAAGTTTAACGAAGGAAGAATAACATTAATACAATTAAATTTAAATTATACATATTTTTGAACATATTAAATTAAAAATATTTACATGTTTGAGCTCCCTTATCTGATGCCTATCAAACTAAGAAATGAGAAATGAAATCCTCACAAGTAACAGAACCTTATCCAAATGGAAAATTAAGCTTCCAAAATTATCATTACCTGAGTGGTGTCCATATTTGCAATGTGATCAAATGTGAAGGTCTGGGGCTCAGGGTTCAAGTGCAGCCGGATGGTTGTAGAAGAGAGCACAGATAAGCATAAGTTTTGCTCTCCATCAGCTGATCCAGAACCCTCTGTAGGGGGACGAATTCTCACAAAAACTTTGATGGCATCACCACTACTGAAATCAAAAAATATGCAGCCTAAGTTTACTGGGAAAAAGAACTGAAAAAAGATCTGAGTCTCATATTGCCTGTAATATTTCCATATTGAGAGATTCCCCAACAAAACCCAAAATCTACCCATTCACATTCACCTCTTAAAAGTCTCACATGATCCACACCCTTTACTGATTTCTCTATGAACCTCATCTCCACCAGCCCCTACTTGAAATCAACTCAAAGGGAGTTGATTCCAAAGTGCTCCAAGCACTGCTTGTCTCTGATATCCTTCTTAATGGCAATAATAAAATGAGTCATCTCAAGGGAGAATTGTGCTCCTGATTCTAACTTTTGGCCTGGAAGGTAAAAGGACAAGTGTTGGGGAAGAGATGTGATTTTTCCAGGTTTTTACAGGTAGCTGAGGACTAGGCTTAATTCTGAAACAAGTACCCCTTATTATGCTAAACAGTTGTTTTAGGAATATGACATCCTTAACTCTTTGGATCTTATCAACAAGATTTTTTTCTTACCTTAGCTGATCAGGCTGACAATTTGTCACATTGCGTAACTCAGCTAGAAAAAAGATAAGAAGTCATTAAAGGTGTTAAAAATTGCAATATATAAAACCCATTTGTATCTAGCCTGCTCTTCGACACTCCTCAGTCTCCTCAGCTCCCTGACCTCGTGACAGCAGGGTGCTCTGGGCCCAAGCCTGGATCTCCCTCTCTATTCTATCCATATCTACTCTGTTGGTGATGATACCCAGTCTCGTTTTATATTCTATGTATGTGTTGATGACTCCTAAAGTTAAACCTTCTCTCTGGACCGCTCTCCTGAGCCCCAGACTTCTACATCTAATTGCCTACTTGATGTCTCCAAATGGATGTTCAAAAGGATGGCTCAAATTTAACACGTCCAAAACTAAGCTCGTGATCAGCTGACCTCCCCAACCCAAACATGTTTCTCAATTAGTAACAACGCCATCTTTCCAGTTGCTCAAGCCATAAACCTTGGAGTCATCCCCGACACCTTTCTTCCTCATATTTCATGTGTAACTTGTCAGCCAATCTTTATCTCTACCTTCAGAATTCATCCAGAATCCTACTTCTTGTCAAATCCACTTCATGACCACCATGGAATCACCCCAGCAACATCCCTTATTTGAGCTATAACAGCCTCCCTGCTTCTTTCACTCCCTCATTTCCCAGCTCCGATCTATTCTCAGCCCAGCAGGCAGAATGATTCTGTTAAAAAAGAAGTAAAAGATCAACTTGCAGCATGACAAGTGTAAGGAACTCCACTGATCCAATGCCCAGTGAAATTGGTGAAATAAAAAAACAAAAACCATTTAAGCCCTGGTCCTAAAGGCAAACAGCAAAAGACATCTAGTCAAGAAAATCTGTGAAAATGCCATAAGATAGGTGAGAGTCTGTGGTAGTTGAAACAAGACCACTCCCTCCTTCCCAGCTCAGCAAATTGGTAGATTCCACTCCAGCACTCCCGACTGTACAGCAAAGAACAGAGGGATCCCTCCCCCTTCAGCTCCCAACTGGAGAGCTTTCTTCCCAGGAGGAGCAGGTTGTCAGTTTCTCACCCTGCCTCCAGCCAGCTGCCTACTGCTGAGCCTAGGTCTCAGGTGAGTCTGGTTGAGAATTAGGGGCTCCTTTCTTCCTCCCAGTCCCCACTCTTGGAATGAGGCTCTATGCTCCACAGTCTGCTGAGAACACTGTGTGGCCCTGACCACTAATGTCCTGGCTCATGAGGCAGTGGTTCCCCATTAGGAGAGGCCCCCAAGCTGCTTCAAGAGGACCCTACACTGCTATACATACACACACCTTCCCCATCTCCAACAAATACTCAGCAAGTAGAGCAGTGGTGTCACTCCGAGAGACTGTCCTTGTCCCACCCCCAGAGCTCCAGAGCCTAGGTTCAGAAATTTTGCCTCAGGGGAAGACAGGACATAAAATAGATAATTACAAAGGAGCTGACTTTATTTACAACAAAACACGAACAAGTTCAAGCCTAATGGCATGCACAGGAATAACTGGCAGTTGTGGTGAAAGGCAATTCAGAGATTAAAGACACAAGCTAAACTTCAGGCCTGTTTGCAGGATAGTACTGGGGAATAAGACAGATGGAACACCTTTATTGGGGCCAGAACAAATATCAAACATAGACCTAAGAAACTACTACTTCTAAGGAACAAGAATGTAATTGGATTAGCTTGCAGGGCTATGTTCCAGGTCATTGTTGAAAACAATAGGGCAACAGCAGGTATTCCCGTAGTTTCAAAAGCTGAGTGTGGTGAAGGAAAGAAAGAGATCCCCACCAAAACCACTGTCATCCCAGAGTGACTGTGGCATATCCAAAGCTGTACTTTTCTGAGAAGCAACATCAGAGGCTTAACAATGTGGGAGGGAAATAGACTTCACTAAAACAATCCAGCACATGCTAACAAATAAACAAGCAAATAAGAAACTCCCCAGATAGGGAGACCAGTACTCAAATTTGCTATATTATCTAAAATGTCAAGTTTCCAATATAATAAAAAGGCAAGCTGTTCAAAGAACCAGTAAAGTGATGACCCATAAACCAGAAAAAGAGCAAGCAACAGAAACTGCCTGGGACAGTGCCCAGATGTTGGGTTTTTCAGGACAATGTTTCAAAGTAATCTTTATAAACATGTTCACAGAACTAAAGGAAATCATAATTAAATAAGTAAAGGAAAATGAGGAATTCTGGGGAAAAGACAGCAGTGTAAGAAGCAAAGGAGAAACCTCCTCCCAAAATCACATAAAACACAAAAATACAGCAAATACAACTAATCATGAAAATGACCTGAAGACTACAGAACAAACTGCCTACATCTGGAAAGAAGAGAAAACCTCACAGAAAAGGATAAAGTGGCAAAGCCACTGTCTTTCCAATGGGTTTCAGCCCCCAGCAAGTTCGCTATGGATTCAGTGTGACCAAAGAAATAACAGTAGAACATTTCTTTGGGGTGAAAGGGTTTATTACCTGGCTTGTTCTCCTGGCAGTAGGTCAAGCACTAGGGTCTCTGCCTCGGCCCAGAGCACTGGGCCAAGCTCTCCATATAGCACAATAATAGCTTATTGCCTAAAGGTGTGGAAGCGGTAGCCTAGCAACAGGCCAGTTACATCATCAGGTGGTTTAAGTTCAGTGAGGAAGCTGGCCACAGGAACCCCAACTTCCCCAAAGCCACAATCTGGTGGGCCCCAAGCTCTCCCCCCACCCCAAGCCACCAGTGGGAGTGGAGGTGAGTGGGCTTGGGAGTAGAAGCCCTGGACTACTGAAAACCTGGCCCTGGAGATCCACTCCAGGAACACGAACCCAAATTACATAGTGCTCTGAAGATTAATGGGGCTGGAAAGCAAAGACAGGCAGAATACTCAAGGAGGCTGAGATTCCAGCTTCTTCTGAAAACAGGGATGCACTACCAGCCCCAAAAGAAAAGTGGGCAGTTTAAAGGACTTCCCAGCAACGAGAGGAGAGCTAGAGGGGCAAAGATTACACAGAGTTCTCTGCTCAGGAGAAAGGGCAGGTGGACAACACCTTCCCAGCACACTCAGCACAGCATGTTGAAACTCTCAGGAGCTTCAGACACTCCATCCCCTTGGCTGGCAGTGCAGCCCAGAGACTCCCTGCTGTGGTGCGCAGTCTGTTGGTCCTTTGTCCCAGCAGGCACCAGTTCCACTCACCACCACCCTCACCATCATGGAAGACAGGCGGGAGAATGGCTCCACCAACGGCAGCTCCAGGGGTGCAGCTCCGTGATGCCTCCCTGTGCACACAACCCTTTGACCTGGCAGTGGAGGCAGGCATTACAGCCAGGAAGGCAGGAAACCCTCCCAGCCAAGCTCTTTCCTCCCAGCACTGTGGCTCCCACGATTGCAGCAGGCCAGAGGGCAGGTGGCTCTGCCCATGGCAGCTCCAGTGGCACACCCCAAGTATTCTCCCTGCTGGTGAGATCAGCTCATGGCCCACACAGCCCACCTGAAATCAGATCACTACAAGACAGACAGGTGCCACAAACACTGCACGCCAACAAGCTGGGGGTTACACACAGGAAATCAAACTTCTGGGCACTACAGGGCGCCTCCTGCACAAAGCTATTATTTCATAGGAAACACTAAAAAAGAAGGGGCAGAGGAATGTGGTCCAAACAAAACTAAAAGGAAAAACACCAGAAAGAGAGGTTAGTGAAACTAAAATCACCAATCTTCTTGACAAAAATTTGGAAATAAAAGTCATAAAAAAGCTCATGGATTTACAGAGAAGCATTCAAAGGTCTCAGTGAGGACTTCAACAAAGAGAGACAAATCCTGAAAAAAAGCCACTCAGAGCTGAAGAACACAGTATCTGAAATGAAACATGAAATGGAGAGATGTAAAAGCAGATTAGATGATGCAGAGGACTGGGTAAATGAAACAGAAATTAGAGAACAGGAAAACAAAGCAGCTGATGAACAGAGAGAAAAAAGGATATTGATGAATGACAGAATAGTAAGACAGCTGTGCGACCAAACTAACGGAACAATATTTGCATTATAGGGGTACCAGAAGAAGAAAGGGACGAAGGGATAGAAAGTCTTTTTGAGGAAATAATTGTTGAAAAGTTCCCCAATCTGGAGAAGGAAACAGACATTCAGGTCATGGAAGCACAGAGAGCTCCTAACACAAGAAACACTAGAAGACAACACCAAGACATACAATAATTAAAATGGCAAACATCAAGAACAAGGAGAGAGTGTTGAAAGCAGCCAGAGACAGAAAAAAGATCACATATAAAGGAAACCCCAAGAGGCAATTGCAGAATTCTCAGCAGAATGCTAGAGGGGCAAAGATTACACAGAGTTCTCTGCTCAGGAGAAAGGGCAGGTGGACAACACCTTCCCAGCACACTCAGCACAGCATGTTGAAACTCTCAGGAGCTTCAGACACTCCATCCCCTTGGCTGGCAGTGCAGCCCAGAGACTCCCTGCTGTGGTGCGCAGTCTGTTGGTCCTTTGTCCCAGCAGGCACCAGTTCCACTCACCACCACCCTCACCATCATGGAAGACAGGCGGGAGAATGGCTCCACCAACGGCAGCTCCAGGGGTGCAGCTCCGTGATGCCTCCCTGTGCACACAACCCTTTGACCTGGCAGTGGAGGCAGGCATTACAGCCAGGAAGGCAGGAAACCCTCCCAGCCAAGCTCTTTCCTCCCAGCACTGTGGCTCCCACGATTGCAGCAGGCCAGAGGGCAGGTGGCTCTGCCCATGGCAGCTCCAGTGGCACACCCCAAGTATTCTCCCTGCTGGTGAGATCAGCTCATGGCCCACACAGCCCACCTGAAATCAGATCACTACAAGACAGACAGGTGCCACAAACACTGCACGCCAACAAGCTGGGGGTTACACACAGGAAATCAAACTTCTGGGCACTACAGGGCGCCTCCTGCACAAAGCTATTATTTCATAGGAAACACTAAAAAAGAAGGGGCAGAGGAATGTGGTCCAAACAAAACTAAAAGGAAAAACACCAGAAAGAGAGGTTAGTGAAACTAAAATCACCAATCTTCTTGACAAAAATTTGGAAATAAAAGTCATAAAAAAGCTCATGGATTTACAGAGAAGCATTCAAAGGTCTCAGTGAGGACTTCAACAAAGAGAGACAAATCCTGAAAAAAAGCCACTCAGAGCTGAAGAACACAGTATCTGAAATGAAACATGAAATGGAGAGATGTAAAAGCAGATTAGATGATGCAGAGGACTGGGTAAATGAAACAGAAATTAGAGAACAGGAAAACAAAGCAGCTGATGAACAGAGAGAAAAAAGGATATTGATGAATGACAGAATAGTAAGACAGCTGTGCGACCAAACTAACGGAACAATATTTGCATTATAGGGGTACCAGAAGAAGAAAGGGACGAAGGGATAGAAAGTCTTTTTGAGGAAATAATTGTTGAAAAGTTCCCCAATCTGGAGAAGGAAACAGACATTCAGGTCATGGAAGCACAGAGAGCTCCTAACACAAGAAACACTAGAAGACAACACCAAGACATACAATAATTAAAATGGCAAACATCAAGAACAAGGAGAGAGTGTTGAAAGCAGCCAGAGACAGAAAAAAGATCACATATAAAGGAAACCCCAAGAGGCAATTGCAGAATTCTCAGCAGAAGCCTTACAAGCCAGAAGGGAATGACATGATATACTTAATGTAATGAAACGGAAGGGCCTCCAGCTAAGAATACTCTACCCAGCGACTATCATTTAAATTTAAACCAGGGATTAAACAATTTCCAGATAAGCAAAAATTGATGGATATTTTTCATGTATTTTTGAATATATCAATGTAGGATTTATTCCTCCAAATAGGATTTATTCCAGAGATGCAAGGATGGTACAACAATCGAAAATCCATCAACATCATCCACCACATCAACAAAACGGACAAAAATCACATGATCATCTCCACAGAAGATGAAAAAGCATTCAACAAAACTCAACAACCATTCATGACAAAAACTCTTAACAAAATGGGTATAGAGGGTAAGTACCTCAACAGAACAAAGGCCATATATGACAAACCAACAGCAAACATCATCCAGTGAGAAGCTGAAAACTTTTCCTTTAAGATCGGGAACAAGACATGGATGCCCACTGTCACAACTTTTATTCAACATAGTTCTGGAGGTCCTAGCCATGGCAATCAGACAACACAAAGAAATAAAATGCATCCAGACTGTTAAAGAAGTTAAACTGTCACTGTTTGCAGATGACATGATAGTGTACATAAAAAACCCTAAAGAATTCACTCCAAAACTACTAGAACTAATAATTCAATTCAGCAAAGTTGCAGGATACAAAATTAATACACAGATATCTGTTGCATTCCTATACACTAACAATGAGCTAGCAAAAAGACAAATCAGGAAAACAATTCCACTCACAATTACATCAAAAAAAATAAAATAGCTAGGAATAAACCTAACCAAGGAAGTGAAAGACCTATACCCTGAAAACCACAAGACACTCAGGAGAGAAATTAAAGAAGATACCCACAAATGGAAATACATACTGTACTCATGGATAAGAATAATATTGTCAAAATGGCCATCCTGCCTAAAGCAATCTAAGGATTTAATGCAATTCCTATCCAAATACCAATGGAATTCTTCCACAAACTAGAGCAGATAGTTCTAAAATTCATATGGAACCACAAAAGAGCCAGAATAGCCAAAGCAATCCTGAGAAGGAAGAATAAAGCTGGAGGGAATATGCTCTCCGACTTCAAGCTCTACTACAAAGCCACAGTAATCAAGACAATTTGGTACTGGCACAAGAACAGATCCACAGATCAATGTAACAGAATAGAGAGTCCAGATATAAACCCAAACGTGTATGGTCAACTAAAATACAATAAAGGAGCCTTGGCTATACAAGGGGAAATGACAGCCTCTTCAACAGCTGGTGTTAGTAAAACTGGACAGCTACATGCAAGAGTATGAAACTGGATTATTGTTTAACCCCATACACAAAAGTAAACTCGAAATGGATCAAAGACCTGAGTGTAACTGATAAAAGCAAAAAATTCTTAGAAAAAAACATAGGCAAAAATCTCTTGAATATAAACATGAGCAACTTTTTCCTGAACACATCTCCTCAGGCAAGGGAAACAAGCAAAAGTGAACAAATGGGACTACATCAAACTAAAAAGCTTCTGTTACAGCAAAGGACACCACCAGTAGAACAAATAGGCATCCTACAGTATAGGAAAATATATTTGTAAACAACATATTTGATAAGGGGTTGACATCCAAAATATATGGAGAACTCACACACCTCAACACCCAAAAAGCAAATAACCCAATTAAAAATGGACAGAGGATATGAACAGACACTTCTCCAAAGAAATTCAGATAACCAACAGGCACATGAAAAGATGCTCCACATCGCTAATTATCAGGCAAATGCAATTTAAAACCACAATGAGATATCATCCCACAGCAGTTAAGATGGCCAACATCAAAAAGACTAGAAACAACAAATGCTGGTGAGGATGCAGAGAAAGGGGAACCCTCCTACACTGCTGGTGGGAATGTAAATTAGTTCAACCATTGTGGAAAGCAATATGGAGGTTCCTTGAAAAACTAAAAATAGAAATACCATTTGACCCAGGAAATCCACTCCTAGGAATTTACCCTAAGAATGCGGGAGCCCAATTTGAAAAAGACATATGCAACCCTATGTTTACTGCAGCACTATTTATAATAGCCAAGGAATGGAAACAACCCAGTGTCCATCAGTTGATGAATGGATATGTGGTACATATACACAATGGAATGTTATTTAGCCATAAGAAGAAAACAAATCCTACCATTTGCAATAACATGGATGGAGCTGGAGGGTATTATGCTCAGTGAAATAAGCCAAGTCAAGTACCAAATGATTTCCCTCATTTGTGGAGTATAACAAAGCAAAACTGAAGGAACAAAACAGCAGCAGACTCAAAGACTCCTAAAAGGGACTAGTAGTTACCAAACGGGAGGCTCGGCTCTGGGAGTGGTGCGGGTGAGTGGATTGGGAGGGAGTGTTAAGGGGATTAAAGGGCATTATGATTGGCATACAATGTAGAGGGTTCGTTGGGAAAGCAGTACAGCACAAAGACAAGTAGTGACTCTACAGCATCTTACTATGCTGATAGGCACTAACTCCAACGGGGGATTGGGAACAACTTGATAATATGAGCGAATGCAGTAACCACAATATTGCTCATGTAAAACCTTCATAAGACTGTATATCAATGATATCTTAATAAGAAAAAAAGAAAATTAAAGATCATATCAACAGCAAGAATGACAGTGCTCCCATCTATGAAAGAAGGAAGAAATCAACTAGGTACCCTGCAAGAGCAAATAGGGCTTGTGACATTTGCTGAATTCTGTGCTTTAAAATTCCCTAGTCTATGACTGGCCATTCTGCGTATTTAGAAATACGTCCAAAAGAGAATGACGTGCTTAGAACGTGAGTAAGTTCTCCCCTTCAGGAAGTCAGTAACGTGGAAATGAGACAGCGACCATGGGCTTAGATAGAGTAGGGTCGCCACGGGATGGGCAGGGCAGGATATTTGCAGTCAGAGCAATGTAACTACATGCAAGGAAACCCCCCTGCTAAAACTCTATGCTAAACATTGAGCTCTAGAATCATTCTTCAGTGAGATCAGTTAATGTTCCCCAGATAAAGAAGTGTAGCACATGTTTTATTATGCTAATCATTTGTAACCACGTGTAAGATTCACTTTGCAAAAAGTCCCAGGCCTATGTGCTGTCTTTCCTCCTTCGGATCTAACGAGGTGATTTTGCAAACTGAGCAACTAACTTAGCATGCAGACCCAGCTGTAGATGGCATAGTAAAAGGCAGGAAGATTTCCATCTTAAAGATAAGATTGCATTTTAACACCCAGGAAGTTCAAGAGGCAAGATTCTTTAGCAAGTAGACAATACCTCAGCCCACCTTGGGGGCTGGGCAGGCAGCCTTTTGATTGCTCCCAGACCAAGGCGCCGGTGTCCCAGAGATAAATCAAGGCAGGAAATTCCTTACAGTTAAGTTAATTTTTAATATTCAGGGACTACTTAACAAGTCCCCACCCCTAAGTTTTTTCATGTTCTCAAAAAATCCTCAACTGCCTATAAAACCCCCTAGACAACGCACCACCACGGGCTCTCTTGTCCCCTCCTAGCGTGAGCCGGGAGCTGTCCTTTCACTTTACCTCTAAATAAAAGCCTGTACCTTGCTCTCCTACCTTGACTGTTTGTGAAGCTCATTCTTCGGCTCCGCAAACAAGAACCCCGAATTCAAAAGCAGTACATTTCTTATGTTAAGTCTGCAAAATAGTATAGAAAACTGGTAAGAAACTTAGTCTCTTTAAAGATAAACATTTAGAGACCATCTGGTGGGTCTGCGTCCCTTGCCCTCTGTCTCTCAACCTCCTATAGACCCCCTAGACAGCGCACCACCCCGGGCTCTCCCGTCCCCTCCTGGCTCGCGCCGGGAGCTCTATCTGTCCTCTCGCTGTATCTCTCAGTAAAAGTCTCCCTGGCTTTCCTACCTTGACTGTTGGCTAAGTTCATTCTTCGACTCCGCAAATAAGCACCCCAGCCTCGGAAACACGCAGAACGTAGATTGAGCCGGGGTCGACCCTCGGGCAAGGATACCTAGAGCAGCAGCTCGGTTGGGACGCAGAAACAGGCCAGCGACCCCACGCCAGGACAGAGACCCTGAGCGAGGATTGAGCAGGCGCTGGCGGAGGGCTCTCGCTTCCGGGTCCCTGCTCGGCCCTGGCCCCAACAAATGTCTGTGGCTCGTAGCGTGCGCCCGAAAACCACAGTATAGAGAAAGAGCCGATCCCCCAGTATATTGTCTCTGAGAGGCACAGAGGGATTCTAAACGCCCCCCAGCTGTTCAGGGAACCCGGCGGCAGCTGTCCTTGAACGACTGGGTTTGGGGGCGGCGACAGGGTTACGAAGCCAGGGATCCTTACTTTTGCAGCCGGGCGCCATGGCGACCTCATCCCTCAGTCCCGGGACCACCATAGCCTACGCCCCACCTTCGGCGGCGCCGCGCGTATGGATTCAGCCCTTTCAAAATGGCGGCATATTTGAATTTGGCGCTCGGGTCGACGTTGACGCCAGCCTGGAGGCCGCCATGTTGCCCGGTCGGGGGTTAGGGGCGGGGCTCGTGTGACGTCACGAGTAGACGTAGTCGCCTCTGTGCGGTCTCGAGGTGGCGGAGCAAGACTGTTTTTCCGCAGGAGCTGCCATGAACAGGCGGAACCAGGTGTCGTACAAGAGGCCAGCCGAGCCGACGTTTCTGGCGCGCTTCAAGGAACGGGTCGGGTACAGGGAAGGGCCCACCGTAGAGACCAAGGTGAGCCCGGAGCAGTCGCATTATCTCAGGAACGCGGCCCTCCCTGCCACCTCCGGCCTCTGCTTTGACTTGGAAGCTCGGTACTGATCCGTACCCGCTGTCACCCTGCACTCATTCGGGGTGGGCTTTGACCCCAGGCTGGTGCTCTTCGCACTACAGCCTCTTGCGCCCAGGAAGCTCTTTGTCGTTTTCAGAGTGCTGCTGTGTTCTTGAAAATGACGACGCAGGAAAAGCGCCTCGTCCTTGGTAGATGGTTAAGAAAGATCACTTTCCTTTCTCTTCTTTCTCACCTTCTTATTCCCAGACCTGTAGTTAGCAGGGTGGGTGATAGTATCGTCCCATTTTCTAGGTACAGAAACTGAGGCTACTCGATCAAATGACCCCAAGCCCTATGTCTTGAGTCTGGAACATCTTTGGAGGAATGCTCTGGATCACTTTCTATGTTTTATCGTTACGAAAACAAGCAAACAGTAATCATATTTTTTAAAGTAAGCATAAGCTTTGAATATCCTGAATCTGAATAGAAAAAGAGGAGCTTCAGGAAAGAGCCACACCTGAATAGTTTAGGAATGGAGTTCGGTGGGAGTCAACGTCTGAGCCCTCCCAGGCTTCGAGTCTAACCGGCTCACACCAACACCTGCCCTGCCTCTTTCAGTAGAAAGAGACTGTTATGCTTACGGGCTGTACAGACAAATAATGTATTCAGCAGTCTGTAGATTCACCCCTCAAGTCAGTTAGAGCTTAGGAGAGGAGACAAGGTTATTTGTGTGAAATTACCCAATCCAGTATGTGCTAAGCCCAGGTACTGTGCCAGGCTCTAAAATGTCAAAGAAATCAATCTCCAAAATGCCATATTATTTTAACATCTTCCTTCCTGACTCCTCTCAGCCTTCACAGGTCACCATGGGTGAGCATGCCTTCAAAGCTTCTCCTTCCTCTCTTCTCTTTACTTCGTCCACATCTCACCCCTAATACTCATCATTTTACACTGCAACTACTCGCCGTCCTGTGTATGTCCACCTCTAAACCAAACTCTCTAAATTAGTATCTTAATCCTTCTGTATTTTCCCAGCAACTGGCACCAAGTAGTAGGTGGCCAGTTTTATTGACGCTGCCTGTCATTAGGCAAGGCTTCATGAGGAGGGAAAATATTTAGATTGAATCTCAAGCATGGGTAGGTTCAACAGGTAGAGATGGAAAGAAAGAAACGTGGGTAAAGGTGTAGAATTGTGAGTCATGGACCGTACATAGAGGTGACTGACTGATGGAAGTGAGATTATGTGGACTATTCATTAGGCAACAAGGAGCCGTTTTTGGTTAGAGATAAAATGGTCAGGGTGTGACTAACCCTAAGGACCAAAAATGGTGATGGTGGCAGTGAGAATGTTTGAGAAAAGGAACACGGACTCAACAATGACAATGTGAGACAATTTTATAGTTTGCTTGAGGTCTTAATGATGAGCCTGTGTGTGTTGTTAACACCTTGAAGATTACAATTTGGAAGGGTATTTTAAGAGAATTCTAGGTAGAAAAGTTTTCCAATTAATATCAGTGATTTGGGCTTACTTATTTAATCAAGAGACATTTCTGTTAAGAGAGACTCCATGTTCCTGTATTTGAAAAACCAACTTCATTCTTAGTCATTTTGGCAATATAATCAACATTGTAGTGATCTATTCCAAAAATAAAAGAGTGCCATAAGGAAATCATTATGTAATTGAGCTAAGTCACCTTATCCATATTCTTGAGAATTAATTCAGGAGTGGCTCTGAACAGTCCTCAGTGGCTGCCGCCACTGTTTAGACTGCTTCACTTGTTTTCTGGACAACCACATAAACAAAAAGTCAGAATTAATGATTCTCAATATAGTGAACACCAGGAATTATTTTATTCACTTTCCCATTTCCTTGACTAAAAATACTTATTAATTACCTACTATTTTTGTGGTCTCTTATTGGAAACTTTGTCAGAAAAATAGGCAAAATTAATGAAAAATCAGTGAACTAACAGGTATCATTAAGGAGAATGCACTTGTCAAATGATTGAGCAGACTTGAGACATAGACAGGGATGAATGTGCCTATGAGTAACTTGCCAGGGCTTCAGGTAGTTCATCATTTTTCATCCTATTAGTCATTCTTAAATAGATCAACAAGAATATTTCTTGAATCCCTCCTGTTTACCAGGCTTTGTGCTTCTGCATGTAGAGGTGAAACACTTGATGCCTCTTGCAAAGGAGCTTGCCTAGTGGAGACATAGAAAAACATTGATAACAGTGTGGAACATGCTACCTGTGAACTATGCACAGTGTGAAAAAGAAAAGGAGGTGAGATTAGGAAAGCACTTCTAAAGGATCTAAGTCTAGAAAGCGACACAAGCAAGAGTTGGCCAGGTGCAGTGGGGCTTTCTAGGCACTGGGAACTTGTTCCGAGACAGAAGAGGCAAAGGAGCTAATGTGTGCGTGCATCTGCAGTATTAAAACCTACCTGGGGTGCAGAGGCCATGAGCATGGTGGAGGATAATGCTGTAGTTGTAGATCAAGACCAGATCCTGCAGGGCCTTGTTGCCCTGTTTGGGAGACTAGGAAGGCTCTTTGAGAGGTAGAGTAACAAACTATTTTAATAATGTGTGATGGGTGTGCAATTTTCAACCCAGCAATTCCACTTCCAGGAATTTATCTTACATGTAAGTTAACAAAAGTGAACGAAACATGCAGATTTTTTATGGCAGTAGAAAGAAAACTAGAAACAACCAACATGTTGATGTACAGAGTACTGGTCAAATAAGCCATGAGATGACCACATATGTAATTAAATAGTAGGCAGTGATTTTTTAAAATAGATGATTCTTTATGTATCTCAAGGCATTGTGCAAAGATATGTTTTGAGTTAAAATGCTGAGGGAGTGGGGCTTTTATAGTGCCTCATGTTTTTTAAAACTGAGTCAACTGGCCAAATGTCACCATTTGTTATGTGCATGTAATGAATACATGGTTTCTGTCATGTTATTCTCTGTACTTTATGTTGGGGAGATTGCATAATGTAAAGAGACAAAAGAAAGCAAGTCAAATGGTAGTATGTGTGGTATCCTATTTGTAAATAAAATGTTTCTACTTGCGTATTTTTATTCACCTAGAAAACAGCTGATAGGATACCCACCAAAGGATGCTATTGGAAGGGAGGAGAGATGAGCAGAGGTGGGAGGAAGAATACCTTTGACTTGCTGCTTCCTGTACTTTGGTATTGATTTTTTTGTTTTTTTGGTTGGGGGGGTTGTTGTTTGTGCGTTTTTTTTGTTTTGTTTTTTGTCAAACTTTAAGAAGAAAGGGGTTGGTAAAGAGTAGAGAGAATTGATGTGTTTCAGCACTGCCCTGGGGAGGTGGGGATTGCCACAGTACTGACGTTGAGGGCTCCTGACGCCAACAGCTGCAAGCTGGGGTCCTGCTGAGATGGAAATCAGTCCCAGTGGACAGGCACCAAGGGGTTACTGGCAGGTAGACCTCTTCCCTAGCGTGGTGAGGCTAGGTCTTAAAAGGGACCTGAAAATTCATTGCCAGACACATTTACTCAATAAAGTTACCCTTTCTCACTTTACTAATTATAGTTTCTTACAGAGACAGTGGTTGTATTTGGTTCAAGGTCAGTGACCTACAAATTGTTTTCCCCTTAGAGAATCCAGCCCCAGCTCCCAGATGAAGACAGTGATCACAGTGACAAAGAAGATGAACAGCCCCAAGTGGTGGTTCTAAGAAAGGGCGACCTGTCAGCTGAAGAAGTCATGAAAATTAAAGCAGAAATAAAGGCTGCCACAGCAGGTATGTCTGAAAGAAATTTGTTTGTTTTTCTAACAATTTACAGAACCTGGAGTATGAACTTATTTCTTCTAACACTGTAGTATATTTGAAGGAGACAATCATAGGTTCAGATTTGGGCTTTAAGACTTAGATGTGTGACCTTGAACAAGTTATTTCACCTCAGCCATTTCATCAATAAAATGGAGACAATAATTGTGCCTACCTTATTGGTAGGCCAGCTATGAGGATTTAGTACAAATTTAAGTAAAAACATCCTGTTTTTAAAAAAACAGTTGGTTAGGTTTACAAACTAGTCGACAGACTTCTATTTATTGCCTGAAGTGCAGTATGTTAAACAGTGTATTTTTCATTATTCCTAAATCTTTGTTACATTGCTTTAGGGGAATATGCTGGAATTCCAAACAATTTTCAAAATACATAAAAATATAGCCTGATTATAATTAACTGAGGACTGGCACTATCATGGAATACTTCAGTGAATGAGTTCTTGTAATTGACTGCCTGTCTGGGGACATACAGCCAGAGGCAGTGGAGAAGGCCAGGCTGAGCTGATGCAAGGACATCCTTAAATACAGAATACAGTTTGAGATTTTCTTGCCATTTGACTCTGCGATAAGGCAAAATATCCTCAGGAGGGAGAAAGACAGTTCTTTTACTTTGTTTTTGCTGCAGATGAAGAACCAGCTCCAACCGATGGAAGAATCATGTACCGAAAACCAGTCAAGCGTTCCTCGGGTGAAAAATACTCAGGCTTAAAAGCAAGCTCAAAGAAGAAGAGAAAGGAAAATGGAATAAATAAGCAGGACTCAGTTAAAAAGAACTCACAGAAGCAAATCAAAAACAGTTGTCTCCTTTCCTTTGATAATGAAGATGAAAATGAATAAATATTTTGGACCTAGTCTTCTTTAAGACTATGGAGTGTTTTTAAAAATAACTTTTTTCCTATATAAAGATAGACAAGTTCATTATAGAAAATTTAGAAAATACAGAAAAAATTTAGGGAGATTAAAAACTATGTCCATTCATCAATACCCCCTTGACTTGAAATGCTAACTCTGTAGACATTAACTATTAATAACATTTTGTTATTTCCCTTGTGTGGGGTGTGTGTTTAAGTTATACTTTTTAGAAAACAAAATGGAGGTTGTATTGTCTGTGTTCTCTGTCCTGCTTCTCACTTGACATTATATTGTCAGTATTGTTCCAGGTCAGTAAAATTTAAAAGCCTGACATTAATTGCCACAAAGGATTCCATATTGTATCTTCCTCATTAGCAGAACCCCACTCTGGACCCAGGAGACAACGATGTGCCTCATTGAGTATGCTTCCCCAGCTTCCGCTAAGACGACCAGAAGACAGCTGTGGCCAGTTGAGAGATCCAAGTGGATCTTGTGCAAGTGAGGCTCTGATATAAGTGATCTTGATACAGGTTAGGATTTAATGTATAACATGGTGACTGGTTGATAACACTTAGAAAAAGATATGAGTAGACATCTTAATAAAGCTACTAGATTTTTTTTTATAATAGAAAGGACAAATTTGGCAAGCATGAACCTTGGTCCTCTCTTCATCCTGCCTGGCACGCAGCACAGACATGAAAGCAAGGAGTACCAGACCCATATTTAGGTGTGAGGAAGACAGCCACTTGCTCTAGGTAGGACCACAGAAGACTCACAGGGCGCGGGTCCTGACGGCACGCCTGCCCAGAGGAACTTCCGCCCTCTGGACTTCTTGGGGCATGTGGAGAACGAACAGCCTCTTGCTTACTTGTTACATGCAGCCTGAGTTGTAGCAGTGGTTGGACATGCTTGTACAGAAACCTCTCCAGTGTTTCTTTTCTCTTTTTTTTCCTCTCGGTGTATTTCTAATGATTTCCTTAGAATGAATTGGTGGGAGCAAAATTACTGGATCATAGTATTTGAATATTGGTAAAGCTTTTGATGCTTACTTTGAAATTGCTTTCTAGAGATTTATCATTTTATTCGTTCGCCATCTATAGGAGCTCACTTCATTATGGTGCTCCAGGCTTTTCACTTTTGTCAGCTTTCTGTATTGAAAATAGTGCTTAATAGTTTAATTGGCACTTTCTTCTATTTCCCAGGAAGGCTAAACTTTTTCATATGTTAATAGACCATTTTGTTTTAATTAAGTTTTTGTTCATTTTCCATTAGTATAGTCACATTTTTCTTCCTAATTTGTTAATTATGTAATCTATGAGTCTTGTTCCAACTCCCAACCTCTGTGTCAGATAAAGAGTTAGCTATATTCTCTTGGTCTTTGTTTTAATTTTTTACATTTTGGTCTTTGTTTCATCTAGCATCTCTTTTGGTATGGTTTCTTTTCTTAAATTAATTGTCCTAGAGCCACATTTGTTTCTTACTTACTTGAAAGAGCATGTGAATAAGCAGTTTCTCTTAAGAGTTGGGGTAGGGAAGGGAGAGGAGCTCTTCAAAGTCAGAGCCTTTCCAGCTAATTACTCAAGACCCTAGTTAATGACTGTGATATAATGAATCATAAGAAATATACATTTGGTCATTCATAGGACCAAATATATATATTTTCCAGGTATATTTGGTCTTCACAGTTCTTGAAAACACTGCAGCCTTAAAGGTGAAACGGATGTTTTGTCATGTTAATGAAGACTTTGCACCCCCCACCCAAGGGCAGGGTCTGGAGGCTGGATCAGCCAATGGCCAGGAGTTTAGTCAATCATGGCTATGCAATGAAGTGCTCACAAACCCCTGAGAAGAGCTGCTCTCCTGCTCTGCTCAGCTCTGGCTGCTGTTCCTGGGTGGATCCTGCTTGGTCGGAGAGAGCTTCTGTGCTTGGAGCACCAGGACGCCTGCCCCAAGGTCCACGAGGATAGAAGCTCCTTTATTTGGGACCTTGCCCTATTTCTCTTCATCTGGCTGTTAACTTGTATCCTTTATGGAATCCTTTTCTTTACTGAATTGGTAAACGTAAGTGTTTTCCTGAGTTCTGTGAGCTGCTCTAGCAAATTAATTGACCCTAAGGGGGAGGTTGTGGGAACCTCCAATCTGTAGCTGGTAGATCAAAAGCACAGGTTGCAACCAGAGTATGGAGTTAGGGGTGGCGGGCAGTCTTGTAGGACTGAGCCCTTAACCTGGGAATCTGGTGCTGTCTCTGGGCAGATAGCATCAAAATTGACCTGCTGGTGGTCGAGAATTGCTTGGTATAAGTATGTGTAGGAAGAGCCCCCTCCCACATACATGGAAATTGGGTCCAGGAACCTGAATGGAGTTATACTACTATTATAGCTGTGTATAATATTGGTAGTGTTATACACATATGTAGGTAGAAAAAGACCATAGATAGCATTTGGTGTTAGACGAGTGGGAACTACAAATAACCTAACAATTTTTCTCATACTGCAAGTCAACCAAAACTGGGAACTTACCAATATTCCATCCTTCATTAGCCATATCCATCTGAAATTGTGAATTTCAGAGCATCCATATCATGAATCTGGTGCCCCTTCTATCTTTCCCCATATTAAGACCTAGTGTAAAGAATACTCAAAAGTGATCATGTGAGTGGGCTACAAAGCCCTGAAGTAGACTCTTTCTCAATTATGCAAACTAGTCTAAAAGTAATACTGTCTTTAATACTCACTTGTTAGGTAAACCAGGTTTTTTTCTAATCTGTGTCATTGCTATGTCTATTTTTGCATCAATACCATAGTATTTTAACTACTGTAAATTTTAATATGTCTTAGTATCTAGATGTGGGAGCCTTGATGGCAGGGACTTTGTCTTACCACTACCCAGAACCTAGCATATTAAGAGCATAATAAAAATAGAATGAATGGGAGTGTTTCTCTAGTGTGTTTTGGTTTGGTTTTTAGCAGACCAGTGGATCTCAAACTGTGAATCCCATACTAGCAGCGTCAGCACCCCCAGGGAATTTAAAAATGCAAATTCTTAGGCCTTGCCTCCTGAATCAGAAGCTTGAGGGGTGAGATCCATCATTCTCTGTAACAGCCTGCCAGGTGGTTGTGATGCTTGCTCAAATTTGACAAATACTGATTAAGATTATTATTAGATCTACAGTAAGTGAAATAAAATGAGAAAAATTCAAACAAGGAATATGAAAGACTGTTTAAAAGGTCTTATCTTGAAATACATCAGTTTGCCTACACCTTGGCATCAGCCTGATTTCAAACTTATGGCTTCCAACCCTAAGAGAATACATTTCTGTTCTTTTAAACCACCAAGCTTGTGACAATTTGTTACAGTGGCCATAGAAAACTAGTATACAAGTGGTGTTAGCAAGACTCATAAAAAGATGTCAAAATTAATGGCCAATAAAGTATCTTTCCATAAGACACTTACTAATTACAAAGGAAAACTAACAACTACAATGTAGGAACCAGGAGATGCCTCCTTATCTAAGTGGTCAGAACACATTACCAGTAATAAGTCATACTGACATCACGACCTCCTGATATGGTGATATGATGCACTGAGAAGGGAACATCACTTCCAAAAGGCCAAGAAGATCCTTCTAAGGCCTTGCCATTGCCCCTTTTAAGGATAGGGCTCGAGGACAACCAGTAAGTGACCAGTACTGAAGAGGCCAAAATCCTAGGAGCCAGCAGTTGTACACAAATGTCAATATAGACCCCAGGCTTCTCTGGGGATGAAAGTGTCAGTGCAAAGATGCCAACAGGCCTTCTTCTGAAGTCTTTTATTCTGAGATTATAGCTTTCCTATTTCTTTGCTGTTATAATATACTTTCTTTTATGAATAATGATTATAGCAAATGGTAGTTTAATGTGCTTGTCAAAATGTTAATAAATAGCCTCCAAAACATAGTTTGAAATTTACTGCCTGGGAAAGTCAAACTTCAAAGCCAGTGTTGTCTGACAGAATATTCCTCAATTATGTAAATGTTTTATAACTTTGCTGTTCCTAGTCACATGTGCCCACTGAGCACTTGAAATGGGGCTAGAGCAACTGAGGAACTTAATTTTTCCTTCTATTTAATTTTAATTAAGTGGCCACATATGAATAGTGGCTGCTCTTTTGGACAGTGCAGTTTCAGGTACTACCAGGTAGACAGGAACTTTTTTTTTAAATCCTTAGGAGTCCTGAAGCTCATGAGGGAGTCTCTTCCACTTTGTAAAGGTCAAAGGTGTTCTTACATTTGACATAAAACAGTGCAACATGGAATTTTATCTGGCTGCACGGCTCAAGATAACCAGGACCACACAAATTGAGAGGCAAGATGCATGTCTTCAGTTTTTAAGCTCCTGTTTCTGTGGCCCTTTCCCCAGTCCTGGGCTCTCTCTCCAGAGTTTCTTGCTTCTGAGCCTCACACGGCTATGAAAGCCATCTTTTGATTGATATCTACTCTGCTCCTCCCAAGTCATGCTTGAAGCCTTTCAGACATGAGAAAGGCTAGATTGAAGGTATTTCTCCATGCCTGATGTTACACATCCTCCCCACTGGCCCCACAATCATTCTAGATTAATGGCAGCCCCAGGTTTAACAGGATTTAGGTATATATAGTCCCAGAAGCTGGGATAGAAGTGGCCATTTAGTATCATCAGTTTGAATAGAGGCTGGCCAACCAGTGCAGCCCTGGTCCCAGGAGCTCCTTGGGGGAGAGTTGACCAAGCTTTTCAGCTGCAGGGTGACACCTTGAGTTTTATATTCACATAGCCATTTCCCAAATCTTCCCAAGCCCAGCCATAACGTCTCTTGATACTTGGCCCATCACAGCCTCCATTCTCTACAGAACCTGGAACCTTCTTAACCAGCATAGGATCCTAGAACCCAAACATCTGCCTGCTGCCTTGACATTCTCAGTCCTTCCTAACCTTCTCCTCCTTCCTGCACCAATCCAGCTGTGTCCCTGAGGATATGGTGGTACAGAGGCAGTTCTCCAATTGCCCTTTCTTCTCCCTGAGTCAGCAAGTTAAGATGGGTCTTTGGTACAGATGGCAGGACTGTCTGCCTCCCAGAGAAGGTTCTCTGTAACCTCATAGGCCATGGAAGCTGGACACTCAGGTTTAAAAATGGGGAAACATGTCCTGAACAGACACCTCACCAACAAAGAATCACAGATGGAAAAT